AGTAGTAGTAGTAGTAGTAGTAGTAGTAGTAGTAGTAGTAGTAGTAGTAGTGGTAGTCGTAGTAGCAGTAGTAGTAGTAGTAGTAATAGTAGTAGTAGTAGTAGTGGTAGTGGTAGTAGAGTAGTAGTAGTAGTAGTAGTAGTAGTAGTAGTAGTAGTAGTAATAGTAGTAGTAGTAGTAGTAGCAGCAGCAGCAGCAGCAGCAGCAGGTAGTCGTTCCAATAGCAGAGGAATAGACAAATCAATTAAAAAGCACCCTGGGTGAAACACATTTTTTATTATTCCCTCCCATTAAACTATTCAGGGTGTGTGAAAAAACTGGCGAATACTTTGTGCTATTCCGTCCCCTTACACTAATTGGGATCTAACCTTACTGAGTTTTCCATCTGCGTCAAGCTGCGCATGCATGCATTCAAGACATCGGTGTACGCCGAAGAACGGCTGCGCCGGGCTTGCATTGGCGACTGGGGCATGTGGGTTGCAAACTGCAACCCTTCAATTCCAAGCTGGTGGGTGAAGTTGCAGATAGAAAAGAGCGTTGCCATTCCGCAGATTGGAGGATGGCAGAAGTTCAGACTTTAGATTGACAACCTGCAGTTTGTTGTCGGGTTGAACAACCATGTAGGATGTGGTCTTGGGCCTTTTCAACCACTAGGATGAATGGTGTTGAAGCTGTGTGAGCTGTGCCTCGCTGATTATTTGGGTCACATGGACATGGTCACATCGCTTTTTATTGTGGGACCACGTGGACATGGTCACATGGCCTTACTCATGGTTGTGGGTGGTTTAGTGGTTCCCTCAGATCCCATGTGTGAGAGAACGATCGGATCCTCAAAGCCATGGTTCACCCGAATCAGATCCTCAAAGCGTTAAGGTCCTCAGGTGTCCACCCTGCTCCCTGGTCAGGTGGAAGAGACCTCGACGGTGGCCTCATCCGTGCCTCAACCGAGCAACCATGGTGAGACCAGTCAGGCCACTGGCACAGGTGAGACCAGTGAGGCCGCCGTGGGTGCTTGCGGCTCTGAGCGGCGGAAGAGCATATCTGCGCTGGATCGGGCTGCTGGGGCTGAATTTGGTAGACAGATGGATGAGTTGCTTGCTTCAGACCCATTTGAGTAGAGAAGACGAGCTCAACGAAGCTGAAGAACGCTGTTGCTAGCTTAAGGCTCTTTTTTTGCAGCTTGAGAGGCTTGTTACCTTTGAGCGGAGCGATGTAGCAGCTGAGGACATCGTGATTCGGGAAGAGTTGGTGCCTCTGCTGCCAGACAGATTCTCTCTCTTTGTATCCGTCTCTCTCTCTCTCTCTCTCCCTCCAAAAAAGAACATCTCGTCGCAATATAGTTTTAGTATTGTATGTGCAAAAGAAAATTATGCTCCTCTGTCATGTCATCATAGAGATTTCAGATTACTGTTTACTGACTCTGGCTTGGTTCTCTGGAGTCGTGCTCATTCTGCATAGCATTCTGCACTCAAGTTCCACATCAACTGGACTGGGAGATCTGCTGGACGGGACTGGACGAGATGTTTTCCACACAGACTTTCCTCAGACCAAACCTGTTCACTTCGGCCGAGTAGATGCACTGACCTCAAGTGAGGTGGTGAACCGAATGCACCCCTTGTCCATCGCAGCTGTCTCCAGGAGATCTACGATCCACAGACCAAGGTCACCACCTTCAAGAGTTTGAACGGTGATATCTTGCGATGCAGACGGAAGCCTAGGATGATCGCGTCAGCACCCAGTAGTAGTTGCAGCGATAGCGAAAGCACCGTCACCAGCACTATGAGCGAAAGGTCGTCGCTTGCGTCTCTTGCCTGCAGAAGGTTGGTATGTCACGACAACACACTTTGCCTGGATTCTTTCTGGTTGCCATCAATTCTTGGCGCAAGGTTAGCACCGGAAGACACCATCACCAACTGGGGGGTGTTGGTGGGAAAAGCTTTGTGGTGTCGCATGAAGGGTACCACGCACATGACTGAGCGACACTGGGCAGAAAGAGCCAGGGAATGTGCGATCGAGCGAGCGAGGGAGGAGGGAGGGAGATTCAAACAGGGCGAAGGACAGAGTCTTTCCGAGTCCTTCCAAAATAGCCCGCAGCTGAGTCCTCTTTGTTTCGGAGCGCAGATGAAGGCTGGAAAGACAGACAACCCTCAAAAAAAGAAATGCTGTTTTCTTTTTTTTGACTGGATCAGTCCAAGCTGTGAGGCAGCAAAACAAAATGCTCCTGACTGAACTGGGATAGCAAATAGCAGACTGATTTACACAAAATGGAGGCTCCTCTTGAGTTTGTCGATTGAAAGGATGCAGCATTGCAACCCTTCGCCATTGGTCTGGCTGAGGAAAGATAGGCCTTCTTTCCGGCGCCTTTCACCACAACTATGGAAACCAGACCCCTGTCGTCGAACGTACCAGGACTGGGACATACACCTTCTCATACGCTTTCTCTTTAACGCCTCGCGTTCTTGGTTGCCAACTGGGAACCTTTGTGGTCTAGCGCAACGAAACCGTGCACAACGAGTGCTCTAAAGCGTTGCAAAGCGTTGCAGCATTGTGATTCTTTGAGCTGTGTGTCATGTGAGGTGAGGGCGGGTTGAGAGCAAGAACACATCCTCTCTCTTTGCCGTACCAAAGAATCACCTTTTGATTTATATATCGTCATCCGTCATCCTTGAATGGTCAACCATTCCATGGTCTCCGTGGACGGTTCCTCTCCCTGTGGAAGTGTTTGGCCCAAAAATTGGGCCTGGCAACTAGACAGACTTTGTCTGGTGGAGTGGAAAAGTTTTTTTTTTCTATTCTCCACCACTGTCACCACCTCCAAGTCCGCGAGAAACTCTGACACCTTCGTGCGAGACGCGCGGTCGTGCAGGACCTCCTTGCTTCCTGCGAACCATGGGAAGGGCGCCCTCCGGCGAGCCACCGCTGTGGTGAATCAGCTTAAGGAGTTGGTGAAGCGGGCTCCTTGGCAGCTCCATTTGAGGCTTTCATTTGTTCATGGGATTTATAACACTTTGGGATCGTCATGAATCTTTGGATTGTCGTCCTTTCTGCTTCAATGATTCGACATCAGTCTATGAAGGCACACGGAGTGGGCCCGGTGGTTGCAGTGGGCTTTGGTTTTGATTTTGTCCGATATTGCTTTGGCTTTGGGTGGATTTCGAGGGCCGAGAGGAGTGATGAGCATTCTGTGATTTGGTCAGGGCACCTTTCTTTCCAGCGGATGTGGACCATAGCAGCCATAGCAGCCATATCCAACGATCCATGATTTGGCCGGACCACGTAGTGGGATTTCTCTCAACCGGGTCAACCGTAACCTCGTGTCTGTGGCACACGGTCGGTCGGATGGCCCGATGGCCGTCTCGGCGACCCGACCCACGGTCGGACCGTTGAGGTCGGACAGGAAGAGACCGATGTCTTGGATGCGGAGTGGTCAATGGATGCGTTGAGTTTTCTCTTCAGTCGCCATGGCGAGTACGGGAGCGAAGGGATGCGAAGGGGCGTTTGTTTTGGAGCGTTTGGAAGGAGCGAGTACCGGGTGTGTGTGAGGTGAAGTTATTCCCCCTTTCTGATTCGGCTTTTGGAGACATGGGTCCTCTTTTTGAGGCCAAGTCCACTTTTCGGGAGAGTTGCCTGTTTTGAGACCCATTCTGTGAAGCCAAATGCCAAAATTGCTCGATCTACACTCTTTTTGGATCTTTTTGGAGAAAGTACATTTGGTCCGGTACAGTTTTCTGTTTCTTCTCGAAATCTCAATCTATATCCACAAATCTCTGGGTCATAATGGGTCACAGTATGTGAAGGCGGCTGAGCATCGCGACGCAACGACGATCGAAGGCACGAATGAAGCTCATCCTCCAAAGCTCCTCACATCTCCGACTCGGGGGGATCACACACCATCTGTTCGGTTTTTCGGTTTTCCGTGTTGTTGTCACGAAAGGTAGGCTGAGTTCTCCGTTTCTTTTTGCAGCCTGCCTTTTGCAGTGAATTTGAGGCTCGTCCTGGAAGGATTCTTCACCTGTTTCGCGGTCTCGTCCTCTGGGCCCAGCCTTAAGACTCCGTCTCACACAGACCATGAAGGCCCAGTTTGGCTACCTTTCGTTCGAAGTTTCCAGCTTTCTTCTACATGTTTCCCTTCTTGATGCCGGTGACCCCTCAGATCCCAGCGAGTCAGGTGCAGACTACATGGACTCTTTGATGATCCTGGCGGGTGGTGCCTCGTGGACCTTGAAAGATGATGCCACAGTGGTCCAGGCCTGCGAGCCTTGCCGCGTTTTTGGCCACTGGGCGTGAGTGCTTCTTTTGTTTCGTGTGTGTGTGTGTGTCACCCCCTGTGCCAAAGGGTTCAATGCCACTGTTTTCCATTACAACCACTCAATGAGGCAGGGGCGTGTGGCCTTCTTGTCCTACCACACGCAATGAAGCTGTGGACAAGAAGGGGAAGCAGGGACTGATCACCCCTGTGTACCTGCTACAACTTTTGGACAAGCTGTCACTCCACTCTTCTGCGTTTTGTTTCATAGTGGTTCACATGATACTCCCCCCAAACAGGTTTCTTACAGCCGCCGTCCGCAGCCTTGCACCGCTTTGCAGCCGCGTTTTTTGAGTGCGATTGGAAACCATGTTCAACCATACTGTTTCAGCTGACTTTTCCATCTTGCGGTTCTTCGCCTTTCTTCCCATTGGGAAATTGAGTGTAACTGAAAACCAATGTCAGAGTGTGTTTCGCTCAGCCGTCCCACTCGGGTGCTGAGTGTGATCCTCCGCAAGGAGGCGCCGTTTCATTTGGGAAATCGTGTAACTGAGCTTTTCCACCTTCACCGGAATCCACCACTGGCTCAACCTTAACTGAATTTACTGCCTCCACGGCCGCCGGGCCAAAAAACGGTGAACCACCACAGCCGCCGGGCTATAAAACGGTACTCCCCTTGCAGTCACGCAGTCAGGCAGGTTTCCCATCCAACCCCCCCCCGCGTTCTTATCCCGACCTAATTAGGGTAACGTAGGGAAATGGTACTCGACACACTTGTGTGTCGGCGCCTTTCCCTTTGTTGTCCCTGTTCTAGCCTATCCTACCCGGGCGGTCTAAGACTAAAGTCCCGCTCCCTAACTATTGCATTTAATTCATTTCTGCTAAGTAATCAGTAACTCTAGAGTGCTAGGTATTCAGACACACACATGTACACACACACACATGAACATACACCCCCTCCCTGCCCCCCGCTTTCTTTCTTGCGCCTTTCGTCGCTTGTTGGGCTTTCTCTCAGGCTTTTTAGGTTGCTCTTGAGGCTCGTTTCCCTGCCCCAGTCAAGGGCTAAGTATTCACCTTTTCTACACCTACCTTTCTTTCTTGCCCTCTTAGCGCTGCTCTTTCTGTCTTTCTTTTCTTTTGTTTCTAAGGCTTTTTAGGTGACTATTGAGGTTTTTCACACGCGCGACGCGAAGCGGCACCCTGTGTGTGTCACCCCCTGTGCCAAAGGGTTCAATGCCACTGTTTTCCATTACAACCACTCAATGAGGCAGGGGCGTGTGGCCTTCTTGTCCTACCACGCTGTGGACAAGAAGGGGAAGCAGGGACTGATCATCCCTGTGTACCTGCTACAACTTTTGAACAAGCTGTCACTCCACTCTTCTGCGTTTTGTTTCATAGTGGTTCACATGATACTCCCCCCAAACAGGTTTCTTACAGCCGCCGTCCGCAGCCTTGCACCGCTTTGCAGCCGCGTTTTTTGAGTGCGATTGGAAACCATGTTCAACCATACTGTTTCAGCTGACTTTTCCACCTTGCGGTTCTTCGCCTTTCTTCCCATTGGGAAATTGAGTGTAACTGAAAACCAATGTCAGAGTGTGCCTGTGTGCCGGTGTGCGTGTGTGATGCGCTGATGGGAGTGCATGCCTATGAGAGGGAATCTCCAATCTCCCTTTGCACGGAACAACATATTTGAAAATGGGTGTTTTGGGAGGTGTACAACCAAGTTTTACCGAACATCTAGGAATCGAATCATTTGTGCGCGTGAACTATCGTGTGTCCTAGCCAGGACCCTTGCAATTAAGTAAGCTTCTTACTTAATTAAGTAAGTGCCTACTTGATTAAGTAGAAGCGGGCTCAAAACAAGAACGCATGTCTGTGTCTTGGGAGGTGTACAAAGGGACTTTTGGCGGCTTCAGATGTCCCTTGAGGCAGTTTCTTCTGCGAACAGACTTCCGAGCTTCAGTCGGATCAATCCTTGCTCCCTAGTAAGCACCTACAACTGTACGAGCACTAATATTCGTTCGATCCAAAATCCATTATGTAGCTTGATGTTTGAATGATATCAAATCACACTCCACTGCCCCACATTTGGGTGATTTGGGTGAGAGCGGGTCTTTGTTGATCTTTGCTTTTCCCAGAGGTCTTTGGAGGATCCCGGTGAGGATCCCCCTTTTTTGGAGATCCGAATTGCCTTCCATGTGGCCAAGGTGATATCCATGGCCAGCTTCGGGACTTGTTGATCTTCTTCCACGCCTTTGGCCTCCCCACCAAAACCGGTCCCCATTTCGTCTTCAATGGCGACTTTGTGGACCGTGGTGCTCATCAACTGGAGGTGCGACACAGCCCGGAAACGGCGCCCGGACCGTACGGATGTCCCCGGGGACGTTCTCCCTTTGATTCTTTTCGTAGACCGCCTCAAGAAGCATGTTTTGCAGCGCAGAATAGGCAGTTCCAGCAACATTGGGCTGTGAGCTCAATGAAAAAAAGACAACTCACACATGTCTAGCGCTGCTACTTCTGCAGGTGGTGGGCATTCTCTTTGCACTGAAGATCATGTATCCTCAGCGAGTCTGGCTGGTGCGGGGGAACCATGAAGACAGAGCTATGAATAGCAGCTCAGCTGTGCAGCACACATTGGCCAACCAACAACATGATGGCCATGATCGTGGGAGAGACATTTTCAGTCTAGTCACTATGTAGATTCCCCAACAACAGCCTATCCAACACTTTTTTCCAACTGATTATGTAGTGCTTCCTCCAAAACTTCATGAGAATCCACATATCAAATAGCCTTCGGAATCCATCAGACTCCGCATTAACGCGAGACCTTCGCGACCATCAATTTCATGCAACCACCAAAGAATCAGACGCCCCAACAGCCCAGACTGTGCGGGAAACGAGTCCTTCTTCATCAAACAATGACTACTCCCACTCCTACTTCGCCTTTTGAGGGTGACTTCAGAGCCCGCCTGTCTTTAGAAGTGATCCAGCAACAAGGTGTCTTGGTTTTGGATGGTGAGCATTGTATATGGAAACCAGCGGTTTGCTGGAGTTCTTTGGCCAAGGTGACTCCTTCTTGCGGCAAGTTGCCTCAAGAATTTCTAGCATGGAGAATAGCTTCTGCGTCAAGCAAACCTCCCTTGGAATCTCTCTCGCATGCCCAAATTGTGGTCTTATGTGCAGAGGTTTCTGAGGGCCAGACCGCCGACCTGCTCTCGAATTGCCCAACAGCCCCGCCGAACCGCTTTCAGGTAGGTATGGTTTTGAAGAGTGCTGCAAAACTGTCTTGGGGTCCTTCGGCCAGAAAACGTTCGACCTCTTCCAAAAGGCGTGGAGGGTTGGTGAGGGGTGGTTGTCTCACCCAGACCGATGGAAAGGAATGCCATGATGGAACTTTATGAACCGTCTGAAATGGATCCAGACCGTGTCGAAGCTCTAAGCTCGACGGCTGCGGCTTGGACGCGGCTCTGACCGTCTGACCAGTTGGTTTGATGCAGTGCGAATTGCGCCCGGCGGTGGGCCATGGACGCACCCCAGCAAGGTCCACCCATCACATTGGATGCAGAGGTTTACATTGACGTCCAATCAACTCCATCGACTCCCACATTCACTCCTCGTTGTGCTCTCAGCGATCTAAGATCCAAGGTCACTTTGTCTCCCGGCCATTCTACAACAACGAAGAACTTCCCTGATTTCCCAGAGCTTCCTCTTAGACAGGTTAGAAATGTTTAGGACGGTTCACTGCATTCTCCCTCTTGAAATCACACACACACACACACCAACGCGAAAGAGTTCAATCCTCCTGGTTCAAAGTGACCCTTTGAGATCGCCCTTGGTTCGGTCACTGGGGACCCTTAAAAGGGTTTTACTTCAAGAAGCCTTGAAAAGGTCACTTTGAAGATGCCGGATGTTTAATCTATTTGAAGTACTCCACTGGACGGTTTCATTCCAAACGGATCGCCTGACCCACAGTAAATAGGATCAAGCTTCTGGCGGGATCTGTCTTCTTGCTCCTAGTACTAGAGGTAATGCCCTTGTTACTAGTAGCTTCTTGTTACTAGTAGGGCCAGGAGCCCCTAGTAGCGTCCTTGCTCCTAGTAGCGAT